GATAATACACACACTAATCAACCATACTACATCTAATGTACGGCAAAAATTATTTGTGCATTGTGAAGGAAATTTTGATTACTTTTAAATAAGCAAGCATTATTAACTGGTCCTGGATGAGGACCTGTTTTACCAGCACTGGCAGGACAGTCAGGTTTGAGGGTAAGTCCAATGTATTTCTTCCATTTACTGAACCAATTTGTGTCAACAAGGCACCTGTAGTATTAATAACAATAATAGAGCTATTAATAATAACTGTTTACTTACTAACCATTCGTCAATTTTCTCATCTTTAAACCTCAAGTAAGGTAAGACGATTTCCACTTGAGCTTTACACGAAGGAATGCTAGCCAATGGTGCAGACTGAAAAGATGATAGCAATTCATTTTTTGATATCACTGCACTTTCAAGTGTTTCACTTGTTTTCGATGTGAACTCCTTTGCTACTTTTGCTACTCTTTCCTTGCATTCTTCACGACAGACAGACAATTGCTTTTCATAATCTTTTGTTGTAGCCAACATTTTTGCTTTATGCTCTTTCTTTATTTCATATAGCTTCGATTCAAAATCTAATTTTGTTTCAGAAAGTTCTTTTACATGCTTAGCCTTTAAATCCATTTCTTTTTCCTCCAGTAGTTTCATGTTGTCTTGTTCTTGTTTAGCTAGTTGTTCATCTTTGCTTCTAATGGTTTCCTTTAGTACTTCAGTGCAATCTTTGAATTCCTTTTCCATTAATAAAAGAGCATTTTCTAACCTTGTGATTCGTGATGACATAGCTCTTAAGTCTGCTTTAAAGTGTTCGTTTTCATTCTTCAAAATTTCATTTTCTCTTTTACTAGCAGCATTCTCATCATTTATTTCTTGATTATTTCTCTCTGCTTCTTCTCTCTCTTGAACTAGCTTTTCCTCCATTTTCTCTTTTTCTCGAACTGCATCCTTTAGCTCTTTTTCTACTACTAACCTGCTTTTCATTTTTGGATATTTTGATAGAGCTTTCTCTACCTTTGGATACGACTCAATCATTTCTGGTCTATCAGTAGGAACATCATTGAGACAATCCCTTGCTAAAGAAAGGAGCTCATTCTCTTTTGGTATATCTTCAATGTAGTTTGATCTTCTTTTCCATTCTGGTACTCTCATGAAGTGCTCTTTGCCAGGTATACGTACAAACTGGTTTGTTGGTTCAGGGAATTGACCAGTAAGTACATGAAGAATGAGACAACCATAAGAGAATACATCTAACTTGTGATCATATACCGGATTATCTTTAAGAGCTTCTGGTGGCATTACAATAGCATTACCAGGTGCTTTAGTGAGGTCTTTAAAGGTATCAGCTAACCTTGATACTCCTAGATCTGATATCTTAGCTGAGTATGAAGAGGTGAGTAACACGTTATTAGCAGTGAGGTCACGATGTACAATAGGAGGACGTTTACCATGAAGATAACACAAACCCTTAGCAACATCAAGAAGAATAGAATACTTCATTTGAAGTGGTAGCTCTTCCGCTCTCTCCAGACATTGTGTGAGTGATAAAGGAAGATACTCCATTACTAACATTGGTAATTGTGAATGAGGAGGATAATAGACACCAATTAACTGGACAATGTTAGGATGCCTCTGCTGACTGTGAAGAAGCACCTCATCACCAAATCTTCTCAAAGTGTCCTCCTAAAGAAATGATTGAAGTAACACTAGATTACTTACAAGTAATTATATACAAATTCTCTTACCTGTACAATAGCATCATGAAGCTTCTTAGCAGCACAGGTTGTTCCACTAACTATTACTTCAGTAACAACACCATAAGCTCCACGACCTAACTCTTTACCAGTCTCCTTTAAATCAGGCAATAGTAATGGTTCAAGTTGAGCCCTGTCCATTTTACAATACTGGCAGCTGGCACTAAAGACTAGCAGGAAGTGTTATCTGCTACCGTACAAGATGATTTACTGGCGAGAGTAATAGTAATTTAGCGAATTCTATGGCGAATTTGCCTCTGGAAAGAAATCGGCTGATTTTATATTTGCGATTTTGTGCCACGTGCCATTGAGCATGCTCAGATTGAAACGAAATGGCGGATTTTATATTGGCGACTTCTTCATAGAACCGCCAATCGCCAATATTAATTCCTCGCCAATAAATCATCTTGTACGGTATATAGAATAACTGTGGATTTTTACCATGCCATACATAGAAGCATAATGAATATAATTTGGTCAAGCAGTTGATATTCTTGCAAAACTATTATGGGTACTTTTCAGGCTATTAATAATGATAATTATCTTTTAAGAACTGACACAAATCTTAAATGCAACTGCATGTGAATAGTAAAACATAAAAAGAAAAGGAAAAATAAGTGTGGAAAAAACATTGACATTGAAAAAGGAAAACATTGCTATGAGAATAATAAAAATGATAATAATAGCTAAAGAGCCTTGCTTTGTTACCAGGAGATAGAAATGAACCATTGTCATAATTTGACACGTTTTTAAATGCACTAGCCATTTCAACAGTGTTACTCCACTACCGTGGGACGATGGTGAGCTGCATGGCAGGTGACAGCTAGTGGCTACTAAGTTAATAGTGGTATAATTCCATGGACAAACATTGGTCAACAGAGAGAGAGTGTGTATGTGAAGTAACAGCCCAGTGTTGATCAAATAATGTAGTCTATTATAACTTCCTTATGATTTTTCTTCAAAAAATAATCTATTCTTTAAGAATTCTAGCAAAAGAAGTTTGAGTCTCAAAGCAAAAAAGAAACAAGCTAAAAATTAATTTTCTAATTCCTAGCTGATTAGTTATAATTATTGCATCCAATTGCTTAACAGAGTGATTATATGAATGCATGTCACTATTCAACATGAGTAGTTACTAGCTACACAGTATAGGAATTTGCACTGCCTATAGCTCCGTAGTGACAAGTGCTGCAAGTACATATAAGTGATAATGTAGAGTGTGAATAGTATTGTGATAGGAATATACTGAACAATACTGGTTAGTTGGTCACCACAAAATATGACAACAAAATGTATCTTACACATAGGTACTTCTATATTTGTGTATGTTTATTATTTATTGTTGGTTAAGGTTATGTGGAGTTCACTAGCAGGTTCCTTTGTCTATTTTATTTTTATAAATTATGCACAAGCACTTTTAGTTGTCATCATTGTTGTATGCACATGAACACTTACAGTATTTCTCACTATCTATCTTTTTCATTTAATTTTAAAAGAGCAGTGTTTGGTTACTTTGTTGCTACGCATGCAGTGTTTTAGCCTCTCCTGTAAGTTACTACATTATATTATAATATACAACAACAATTAACATAAATGCAACAGACCATGCACAATTTGAAGGAGACAAAGATATAAGAGTGGGAGAGAAAAACATTAAATATATACATGGACATAAATTAATTATTATTAATTTCCACTGCACCACTGTAGTCTCCTACCATGGCTTTGAGAGAATCAGAGAGACCAGAAAATAATGGCCGATCTTTAGGGCGGTACTAAATAAGCGTATGTACAAAGAATGAGTATAAAATTAATGATTCATAGTATGCTCGTGCATGCTCAACTAATGAAGTCTATATGATAGAATAGATTTGAGATAATTATGATACTGCATGTGCACATGTATATAGTAAAAGTATTGTTTTGGCAAAACTAAAAATATAATGTACTTTTACTTAAATTACAGTTAATGAAGCTAAATAAGTATTAATAACTAACTCAAACAATCATGCTAATAATGTTTTTATATGCAGAAACTAATTAAAATTTTGAGTATAATTCAGTCAAAAACCATGCACTAACCTATGCATAATGTATAATGATCAATGTCCTAATGCTGTGCAGAAAGTTTAAGCCAATTCAGATGATAATTTTTTGAGCCAAAATGGTAATAAAAAGACAATGTTATTATTATTATTATTATTATTATTATTATTATTATTATTATACTATAATAGTATGTAAATTTAAATTTTGAGACTACTTGAGTAGCTGGCACTCACAGTGGTGTATAAAGGGTTGGTTTGTGCCCACCTATTATTCTTATCCAATGATAATTATTAATAGTTATTGTAAGACCATCTCTTGTCCTAATTTAGCAAGAATGGAAGAGCAAGCATTCACTAGGAAGCATGAGAAGGCACTGGAGGAACTAACTCATAAACAGACGTGGCAAAAATTTGCATGCTGAAGACTATTATCACTTCTTTGGTCCTACTGACCATCATCGCAATTCTAGCTATGCCATTGGCAAGTCATGGCAGCACATGCATGCACATGTAATGAGTATCATACCGCTTGCCAATGCGCCAACTCCTTCTCATTAAGGCATAAACTTTATAAGGACATAATTTAGGCTTTTCTAGTCGATAGCCACGTTCAATCTAGAATGGGGCAGAAATGAAAAAATGGAAAATAAGCAACATAATAATAATTGTGTGATACTGTCTGGACCATGTGGAGAGGGAGGAAAGATCACCTACTTGATCTAATACTTGAATATTGCTGAAGGCTGGGTAAGGGTTATTGCTACCACTCCACAACTCCCACAACAAAATATCTAATGACAAAAGCAAACAAAAAATTGAATTACATACATGTAAGTAGATACATGTACATTTATTATTGTTTTTGCCAAGCCAAATGTAAAATTTACTAATATTAAATGTACAGTGCCCCACATTAGCTTCAAGATATTATACAATTACTTGTAGCTTACCATATGACCAAACATCTTATTTGCTGCTATATCTAGCATGAGTGATAACTTCAGGTGGTGACCATCTGACAGCATACTTGACACCTACAGATGCTTCGTACTCATCATCAGGAACAAATCTTGCTGAACTAAAACCACCAACTTTAACAATATTGCTATAACCAACCTGACAGTTCCTAGCAGGCTGTAGGTGCATGCAGAAGAATAGCAAAATTTAGCTAAATGGCTCTGAATTTACTTTATGGTACATGTACAGTAACACATTAAAATTGACTTATTTTTAGGTAGCCATGGCAAAATTTTTTACACCATTTGCTACCTTTTATGGACATTTTAATCATGCTCTGACTATTATACTGTGTGCATTATACAGTATATATCATTGTTTGGTGTTGACTACAAAAATATATCAATCAATATGGGGCCCTCCTTTTCAGTTCCCATGCACCCCTCATTTCTGGTGCAATAAAATTGAAGGTATTTAAAAAACACCAAATAGGGTGGCAATTAACACTGTAAATTCAAAAACTACATGTCAGTGAAGTACTACCAGTAGAGTTACTATAAAACTAACAATTATTATAATATATCCTATGTCTCATTGAAAATATGATAACATTACTAGTGACAGTAGTGGGAGCAGTCAAACAGTTTGGGAACGACAAACAAGCAGCTGTTGTTGACCAGCAGTTACTATAAAACTAACAATTATTATAATATATTCTATGTCTCATTGAAGATATGATAACATTACTAGTGACAGTAGTGGGAGCAGTCAAACAGTTTGGGAACGACAAACAAGCAGCTGTTGTTGACCAGCAGTTACTATAAAACTAACAATTATTATAATATATCCTATGTCTCATTGAAGATATGATAACATTACTAGTGACAGTAGTGGGAGCAGTCAAACAGTTTGGGAACGACAAACAAGCAGCTGTTGTTGACCAGCAGTTACTATAAAACTAACAATTATTATAATATATCCTATGTCTCATTGAAGATATGATAACATTACTAGTGACAGTAGTGGGAGCAGTCAAACAGTTTGGGAACGACAAACAAGCAGCTGTTGTTAACAAACTACCAGCAGTTACTATAAAACTAACAATTATTATTATTTTTTGAAATACGAAAAAAAGGTCACAATTTATAATAAAACACAATAGAATATAAATCAAATAGTAGTAATGCTAGGACACAGTGTTACTGTGGAGCATTGCTCCAAAACAGACTGGCAAGCCAGCGTAATTACAAAAAAACAAGAAAGAAGGAAGACTAGAATAGATTTTTTAATAAGAAAAAGGAAGTTAATAAAATTAATTAATTAGAGTTAAAAAAATAAAGTAATAAAATAAGAGTAATAGTCATATTGGTGGTGACCACTCACTATTATGTCTACTGTTGAAGATGGCATATGAACAGGAGATGGCGGGGAAACTGAGTTGGGAAATAAAACTGTTTCTTAGAAATCTTCTTGACAGATGTGGTAATATTTGTTGCATTGAATTTATTGAGCATTGAAGAAAGTGACCTAAAGCTCCTATCTCAATTGTCTCCAGGTCTGTGGCATATCCACGGGAAGAGAGATCTGATACTAGGGAGATATAGTTTTCCTTCCTTTGCTTCCTTTCTCTTGCATTTGTTAAGTTGGCCATATTATTACTGGGGATGGTAAGTTCCAGTAGACAAATATATCTACCATCAATGATCACAATGTCAGGTCTAGCTGTTGTGACTACAATATTTAATGGGATGGTGGCTAGAGGGGTATCAGAAGCTCTGAGATTATTAAGATCAGCAAATATCGTAACTGACTCATCTAGGTTATCCCTCAACAGATTGTATAATCTTTTAAGAACAGTATCATGTCTGCAAGTATATAGCGACCTTGTAATAAACTAGTAGGACAACAGCTCAGGATATGATTCACAGTGCATTGTGGAGCATTACAAACACCACAAGACGTGTCCGTGCGGTATTTCCAACGAGACAAGGTCATTGGAGTTGGTAAGCAGTCAATACCTGTACAAATAATGTAATATATACATCCTGTGTCTCATTGAAGATATAACATTAGTGAAGCATCAGTGAAAGTGCTCATCAAATACTCAAAATGCTTGCAGTGCTGACCAATTAAGAGGTGAATCTTACTTGACATCATGACCTGACTCACTTACCAAATTTCTGTGTATAAAACCAGATTGTTCTAAAAACTTCATAGTAGCACAAATCTGTATAGCCATGTCAAGTAAAATGTCTGTCTTATTTACTAAACGTTGATTATTACAAAGATACTGGAGTAGAGAACCTACATTGGAGAAATGATAGCATCACGAGGGAGGATAAAGATATTTTATATGCTCATTCTACTGTATCTTACCATTAACCATTAATTCAGTGATGATATAAACAGATCTTTGTCTGATACACACTCCACATAACTTTACTAAATTATCATGTTGAAATTTCCTGCAAACACAAAAATACAAAATGTAATTTGAGAATCAAATTAGAGAAAAATTCAGCTTTTACAAGCTTCTTAAAGCTGAACCTTTTAAAGTAAAATAACTTAGAATGCAGAAAGTTATTACTGTGAACAAACTTACTGCATCAATATTGCTTCTTTGATCAAGTCATCTTCATTCAGTGCACCTTCCATTATTTTAATAGCAACATCAACTTCATTACGCCACTGACCTGCTACTACCCTCTGAAAGGAAAGAAATACAATAGCTTGTAATTTAAAAAGACTATTAAAACAAACTGTTATGCAATTAAAAGATGCCGACTTGTGCTATACAATATGCACACATAATGTATAGGCAGAAGACTTACTTTAAACTGTCCACTACCTAGTTCTTTACCTAATGACAGCTCAGATTTATCAATTCGCCATTTATCATCTGTAATAAGATGAGCAAAAATATTTTTAAAAATTTTTTTGAAAATACTATTGTGAAATTTCATATGATCATTTTCACAAGTTTTATTACATTGATCATTACCTATGCCAATGAATACAAAATATACATCTACATATCTAAAGCAGGTAATTTTCAGTGGTTGAAAATTTAAAATGAATCCAGAAATGACTTTAGAATAAAAATTTGTTGGTTTTATTTTTTACTAGACAAAAATAATTGATCTGATGTCTTCATTAGCATCTGTAGGACTGATAGCATTAGAAAGAGGTCCCCTGGTCCTGTAGGGTCTGGAAGAAATTCTTTAGAAGGTGAATTCCATTTTCAAGGCTATCTATGCTTGTTATCATTATGGTCATGCCTATCTTCAGAATTAATTTTCATCAAGAATTAATTTTCGTTCAGAATTAATAGCAACAAAACAGATGAAAATAAACACCAGTAGAAAATTATCTGCTACTGTAGGGCACCTTTTTTTCAAGGGCTATAAATTTCGTGGATTTAATTTTCACAAATTTATGCCGTGTGCCATCTTGTATCATATTAATTTGATTTTCGTGAAAGTAATTTTCATAAATCTTTTTAAAATTGCAAAATCTGCAAAATTTATAGCCCTAAAATAAGGCGCCCTATGGTATATGGCATACATGTATTAACACAAAATGTACACATGTCACTTAATGTATACGTCAAATGTACATTAACTAGAAGAGCCATACATGTATATGTCACTTGCCATGCCCTGACTTAAAGTGTACAGGCAAACAAACAAACAGATCCACCAAAAAAGTTACAAGTTTTAAATAAAATTATGCCTATTATTATGCCAGATCAACATGATTACTAATTCATGCAATTCTTTATGTGTCATTGTATCCATCCCAAATTACCAAATGCAGATGAGACTCTGAGAGCTGGTTGATTAGGGACCAACAAAGCAGGGGGTTGTCTTAATCTGGTAGGCAAACCTATAAAGGCGGATTTACAATATTACGCTAGTCCTGACGTTACGTTGACGCTGGAATAGAATCTGGTTCTATTCCAGCGGAAAGCATGCGTCAAAAGGTCAAATCGCCCACGCTTTTGATTAAAAATTGACGGTACGCTGGCCTAATGTCATATTGTAAATCCGCCTTAATGATCATCAAATGTGTGGTTTCAAACTGAGACTGACCTCCTCCATTCAGTTTGTGATATTCAATAAGTTCTGTAACTGTTGGAAAACGATGCATATTATATATGTAATATTTCTTCTCTTCATCAATTCTAATAAGATAATGCATGGCTTGACCTTTATGACTATAATTATAATGGAGAGAAAAGAGAAACTAAGAGCTTATATAAGTAAAGAAAATACTCTCGACTCTATAGTCTCAATGAAGAAGTATTCAAGGAATTCGGAAAGTAAGGGCAAAGTCCAAGGTGACAAATTCCTTGGAAACTAACGAAAAGATGTAGATCTATGACTTGATTGTCACGAATAATATTGTCTGCATATAAAGTTTATATAACCTAGCTGGCAAACGGCATGCAATCTTGTGTTGGCTATGGAAATGTAACCAAACCAATTCAATTGTATAAATTGGTATAACCATTGTGGCTGCTACAACAGAATGGCTTATGCAGTATTTGGAAGCTCGTTAGTGGTTTCAACATCAAAGAAATAACATACCATATTGATAGGGTATAGTGCTTTTCTTGACTGGAAATTCTAACAACAAAGGCTCCTTCTTTATTCTAAAGTGATTGAAATGAAGTGTCATGATAGTAATCAATAATGCTTACCTCTTGCTTGAGTATATTCTCAGCTCTGGCACGTGATAATTTAGGGAAAAACCAACTAAAAATATGCATGCACATAAATAAATAATACTTAAAATGTGCATTATAGGGTCACCAAGGGCAAATAAATCTCAGTATATTTCCCGATTTATAAAATTAAAACCATTCAAATATTTACTACAACACACACTTTTGGAACATATTGCATTGTATCTCTTTATGCATATACAATAGATGAGCGAATTGATAAAACTTACATTTCACTTTCTAAGCCAGCCTTTATAAAGTAGCTGTTAGTAATAAATGCTTCATTTCTAAAATTATACAAAAACTATAATAACAAGAAAAATGAAGAAGATTTATCTATAGCCTACACAAACAGAGCAATATTCACACTAAATCTACATGCATGCATATGTAGCAACTAGCAAGCAAAAGTATTGTCTTTATATCCATAAACCTGGCATACATACTATTGTACAGTACAAAATTTGATTAAATTTATTCACAATACAAGATAGCAGACATGTAGATCTAATTTTGCAAAAATTAAATCTTCAGAACAGATTTTTTTGGCAATTCTTATGAAATTTACTACAGCCCTTCAAAATTTTGTGCTCTACAGTTGATGGTCTCACTTCCAGAATCCAGACCTTACCTGCCTACTGTCATAGGGGTGGACTGCTGCTGTGCTGCTGTATCTTTAAGTGTTTGACTTGACTCCATAAACTCCTTCACTACTTCTGCTACTTTGACTTCACATTCTTCACGTACTTCAGAAAGCTGCTGATCATGTTTCTTTGTCGCAGACAAAAGCTTTGCTTCAGACTCCTCCTTCATTGCAGCAAGCTCTATCAAATGCTCTTCCTTTAAATCAGCTTCTCTTTTCTTCAGTAGTTCCATGTTGTCTTCTTGTTGCTTAACTAGCTGTTCATCTCTGCTTCTAATAATTTCCTTTAGCACTCGAGTGGAATCATTGAATTCCTTTTCTTTCAATGAATGAGCATTTTGTAGGCCCGTCACTTGAGATAAAATATTTTTCAGTTTTTTATTTAGTTGGTCATAGTTTCCTGTCAGTCGTTCATTATCTGCTGTCAGTTGTTTCTCAAGTTTGTCTTTCTCAATTTTCTCAGCTTTCAATTCTTTAATTTCTGCATCTAATTCACAAATACGTTTTTCTGCTGCCTCATTATCTTTCATTAATTCTGTTGCACTTTTCATTTTTGGATATTTTGATAGAATTTGTTCCACAAATTGATAACACTCAATCATTTCTGGTCTTCCAGTAGACTCATCAGTGAGACAATCCTTTGCTAAAGGAAGGAGCTCATTTTCTTTTGGTATATCTTCAATATAACTTGATCTTCTATCCCATTCTGATACCATTAAGAAGGATGATCTACCAGGTTCTTGTACAAATTGGTTGGTTGGTTGAGGGAATTGACCAGTAAGTACATGAAGAATGAGACAACCATAAGAGAATACATCTAACTTGTGATCATATACCGGATTATCTTCAAGAGCTTCTGGTGGCATTACCATAGCATTACCAGGTGCTGTAGTGAGGTGATGCTTTTTAAAGGTATCAGCTAATCTTGATACTCCTAGATCTGATATCTTAGCTGAGTATGAAGAGGTGAGTAACACGTTATTAGCAGTGAGGTCACGATGTACAATAGGAGGACGTTTACCATGAAGATAACACAAACCCTTAGCAACATCAAGAAGAATAGAATACTTCATTTGAAGTGGTAGCTCTTCCGCTCTCTCCAGACATTGTGTGAGTGATAAAGGAAGATACTCCATTACTAACATTGGTAATTGTGAATGAGAAGGATAATAGACACCAATTAACTGGACAATGTTAGGATGCCTTTGCTGACTGTGAAGAAGCACCTCATCACCAAATCTTCTCAAAGTGTGCCCCTACAAAAATGATTTAAATGATATATAATATGAATTGAAATTCCCTTACCTGTACAATAGCAGGATGGAGCTTCTTAGCAGCACAGATTGTTCCACTAACTATTACTTCAGTAACAACACCATAAGCTCCACGACCTAACTCTTTACCAGTCTCCTTTAAATCAGGCAATAGTAATGGCTGGAGTTGAGCCCTGTCCATTTTTCCTTGTCTTTCAGGAAGTAGATCTAGAGCTATGATAACTGTGGATATTTGACCAATGACTTTGAGAAATGAATATATCAAAGTCAAGCCCCATCTGCATGAATAAACTAACACTTGTTAATAAAAATGATCAAAATTTTATACTATATTATGCTAATTATTTAGATTTATATAAAGTCTATAGCCAGTAATATTAACAGTTAAGTATAGCATGAGAAATAATAATAATTTATATCTAAGGTTAGCTCTACTATTATACTCATTATAGTAGCTACAAAAATGTAAATTCATTTAGTTTATCTCTTGGCCAAGTTTCATCAGGATTTCTTTTTTCAAGCATTAACATCTATCAGTTGCAAAAAAAGTAATTATTTTGTCATTAAAAATAAAATCAATCTAATAACTGACTTGTCCTCCATGTATACCAGCATCAGATACTGTTTGTTGAAAATCAGTTAATAAATCATATTTGCCTGTGAAGTCACATTCCCATATTCTACATTCAGTAGTATCAGATATTTTAAACTGTTGCTTCATTACTGTCACTATATCACCTACAGCAATTCATTATAAATAGCTGCATTA